TTTTCAATTCACTTTTCTATTTTGTAATAAAAGCGATTACAACACACTTCTACAGATACTGTACATTTATGATACTTGAGGGTGTGATGAAGAGTATGATATATCCTCATTCTCAAAATGGTTTTTCTTCGGTAATAAAATCATTTAAGTTGAACATTGTTGAAACTTAGCCACACATAAAATTCCTTGAGGTTCCTTTCAAACGGATAACGAGTATCAAAATCACAATAAACATATATATGTACCTATATCACATCATGATCGTTACATTTCTATTATTATAACATGTATTGAAATTTCCTGTAAAAAAATGATATGAGTCTTCTATATGAAAAACATACCTATTCGTTTCTTCAATATAATTTCTTCAACTGTCGTTCGACATGATATTCCTGATTGTATGCCACAACTTCATTCATTTACTTTCTATATTCGTATCTATGTTGATACTAATGGCTTATCCTACAAATTATTCAACGAAGATATTCGATGAATATTAACAAATATTGCACAACAACATGCAACTAGTATCGTTAATTATGTTAGTACTGACAAAGCTACATGCTCCATTTTTTCACTTACTTTTGCTTTTGATTATCTCGAATATCTTGGCAGTGCATTCCCAAATATTGTATTCTCCTTCTCGTAGAGAAGAGTCCAGCAGGGTGGGTGTGAATCTGGGCGAGAGTCCGACTACATATTCACACCCACACCCTAATTTAATATGTACTTTTTCTTAAAACTTCATCTTATTCAATGTGATGAAATAAATAGATATTCATTACTATGAAGATTGTTATGGTATGATATATGTCTTACCATAAAGAATGCTGATTCCCTTTCATTTCCTCACGTACTACTGATATCGTTGAGTATTGAAGAAGTGAATATTATGAAGAGATGAGTGATTTTTATTTTATGAAAGAAGAGAAATAAAGAACAAAAAAGGAGCGATGACAAAGATAATTTATTAGTTAAAAAATAAAAATGAGATATTAGTATGAAGCAGAATAATATGAGATTAGTAAGTAAGAATAAAAATAACAAGTATAGTTAGTTGAAAAAAGAAAATGTATTTGTATTGTTAAGTTAAAAGTTGATTTCAGATGACAGATATATCTGTTGCTGTCTTCTTTCGAAATACAACTCGCCAATAATGTGAACGTCCTTGGCTCATATCCTCATAAATTTGAGTACCAGGTAATCTGGAAAATAAACGAAAATATTCTTGTTCTTCAGGTTGAATATAACGTTGAATGAAATCAGTACAACATTTATTTTGAATATCAAGTGCATGAAGAACATTTCTTGTAATATTAATCTTGTTTTCAATAATTAATTCATCATTTGCTATCAGATCATAAGTTGATGTACCTGTTCCATTTATGTTACAAAAATCACACCATAGAAGATATCCATTTGGACGAAGTGCACAAATGACTTTACTGGCAAACTGTGATTGCTATTGTTTGGCTAAAAACATGTATTGCTTCAATGCAAAGAATTATATCAATTGACTCATTTTCAAATGGTAAATGTTTTGTTGCATTAGCTACTACGAAGGAAAGACGAGGAATTGTCGAATAAAGTCGTTGACATAAGTTAATGACATCTTGAGAACGATTTATTCCTATGTAAGAGTGAGGTACATGAGTATGAGCAGACCATGCAGCACCAGCACCTCTACCACAATTGATTTCAAGGACATCCTTATCTGTTAATGTCACATTTGCAAGAACCTAGAAAATAAAACAAAATATTTTAATCATGGCTTGTATATCGGAAAAGTCACAAAAATTCTCGATTTTTCTTTATATATCAACTATTCTGTATCGTATGTTCGTGATACAGTGAATAGTTTTATCGAAAGTTATTTCAATTGATTTTAAGAGATTTTTCTGACAGACTTCTAATATGCATACCGCTGAATTTGTTTATAGTCATTACAATAGAACTGCATTCTATATATTATTTTGATGTCGTATTTTTATTGGATGATTTTCTTTTCATATTTAGAGTGTATAGCATATAATAAAATAATCTTATATTCATGTCCATACAAATTCCTTATAAATCAAAGACAATGATAATCTCTGTTGACAGTTGATACGAAATAGGACAAAAAAAGAAACACTAAAATAGAGTCTTTTATTCTTTTTTACATACTTGTTCATAAAGCTTTCTTGAATAATAACCAGTATGATCATCGATATATTCATCCATATCTGCATAACCATAATTCATAAATTGTAATTCGTTTACATTCATATAGATGCTTGCAATTCGTTCATACGAGAGAAATAATTTGTTAATGGTCTCGTATCCTTGTTGATATTTTACTAGCTCGTCAGGGACTATTGTCGGCCGAGATAATCTTGCTTTTACTGTGCAAGATTCTAGAAGAAAGAGATTTAATATATTAAAATAATCAATAAATTCATATGCAGCAATTCAAAATAAGCAGTCTAACTCCAAAAGAAACTATTTTAAAGACTAAAATATCAGAGTACAAACATTAGAAAACGTATGATAAACATAAAAAGCTGTAAGATTTTTGTGTCCAGTTCGAAAATAGTGTAAATGTACAACCTTATCAAGATCTTTGATATGTAGTTTTTTTAATTTTCCAGTTTAATTATAAAACTAGTTTATCTAACAAGAATTTAAAATGTTACGAATCTGATACTCTATCATATCTTCGTATCATATATCTAAGAAAGATATTGATTGCCAATTTATTTTGTCTCACAAATTATTATTTATTAATAGGAAATAATAATTTTAAACTGATCTAATACTAGTACAAGACGTTGATAAATCATTATAAGTTGAAACTGACAAAGAGATTTAATTGAGTTCCATAATAACAAAAGAGTACGATAAAAAATAGACTCGATGTATAGTATATCATATGTTATAGGCACTGAATTAGTTTAGAGAAAACTCAGTATTAGTGAAATAGGATATTAATCGAATAATTTTATCACGGCTTGCTAGCAGAAGACCTAGACAGTACTATACTCAATTTGGCTTCTTATATCGCAACTATTGTATGTCCATTTTTACAAACAGTATATCTCACTAAAAAGAAACGATAGGATATAAACAATAAATATTAATAACGATTAGACAATATCTTGGAAGCCTTATATAAGAACAGATCATCTGTCTACGTGACTTACCTGCAGGAACTCCTTTCCAGTGAGTATTCAGTGGTAATTGATCATTTTTCATTATCAATGTCCCGGGATAAAGACGATTGTTACCCAATAGTTTACAACCTGACATTACAATTGAGCTACTCATCAGTACACATGAATTGCCGATGGATACAGGAGCTAATTTTAAAATACGTTGTTCGAAACTGTGACCCTGAAAATATTGAAAAAAACAATTTTATGTGGAAGTAAATAATAAAAAACTTATGTATTACCTGTATCTGTGTACGCATATTAACTCGGACATTATCTCCAATAGTCATCAAATGATAATCGGTAATAGAAAATATATCAGGCATTATAGTATTCTCACCAATATGAGCGCCGTATGCTCGAAATAGTCGAATGAGCCATTGTGTATTACCAAGAAATGGACAAATAAATTGTGCATAATCTTGATTCACTCTTGCTATTATATGTTCTACAATTTGATAGCGTTCTTTATATGAACGACATCGATTAAGGCTACAGACAAGTATCGTATGAATTATTGACCCACCAACAAGACCACCAAATGAATAAATGCTTAATAAAAGACATTTGCTGACATAATGAGACAAGCATGTATGCCAAAATGGTATGATTTCAATCTGATCTTGGTTTTTTGGTGTTACAGGCATTTGAAATGGCATTGTATGAGCTGGAACACCCATGAGAACTACTCCATATTTACTTTTTGTCTCTCGTGAGATGCGTGTTAAATTGCCAATCATTGTCTCGGATGCAAGGCAACTACCAGGCAAGATTGAACATTCATTGAAAAGGTTTGTATGAGATCCGAGTATTATTTGATCCACACGATGATCACCTGAGGGTGTCAATTCAGTAGGAACTATTGAAACTCCACCAAAACTAGTAACACCTGTTTCGAGTTTTAATAGACTTGTTGGTGAGGATAGAAAAGTGTCTATCTTATAGAGTTGAGGGTGTGGGTGTGCGTCCGTGTGTTCTTTTTTGTTATATCGGCACACCCATAACTCACACCCACACCCTTAAGAACGATCTAAAAGTGATTTTATCTTTCGCTTTTCGTCTGTTAAATTCAAACTTCGATAAATAATTTGTACATCGGTAGGAGAGTACGTTTATTCATTGATTTTGTTACATATTAATCCACGTGATGCAATGTTTCACAATTATTAGAATTCAGATGGATGTCATCAAATATCTCATGAATTATTATACATTGATTCAATGATTAATGATCAGGAATTTAGTCAATATTTTCAACTATTAGTTCATTTTTATATTAAACAACTATACAAATATTTCGCAAGACAGATTTAAGTAAATTTTATTGCATTTCAAACTATTCGTCAACAACTTACTGATAATGAATTTATTAATATAGACAATCAACTAAAACAAATATTTTATAGTTTACGAAATAATCTTCCAACAATTAAATTATTAATTCTTACAAAACGTGTACGTTTATAATATAATGAAGATCCATCAGCACAATTTTATTTTACTCAAGCTCTTTGAAGTTTTTTATGGAATCATCTAAATAATATTCATCGGGTGAAAAAACGTATTAATTAAACCGAAGACTCAGACGTCTTATATTTTCTATTCCACGTTATTTATGATCGATATTACTGTCATATTTCAACAAATGGTTATAATTCAGAGCTGGGCGAGTATGGGCTTTCTCGAGTACGAGTACCGACCCCCGAATACGAGTACGAGTATGAGTACCGACCCCCCCCCCCCCCCCCCCCCCCCCCGAGTACGAGTACGAGTACGAGTACGAGCAAAATCGTACTCGAGTTCGAGTACTTTGCCCAGCTCTGCGACAACTATTACGTACTATTTCTACCACTCGAGAAAAATCAAGTCTATGGAATCTTTTAAGGTTTCATACGAAGAAAATATATAGTTTTAAAAGCGTTTTTTTTGTTGAGAACACTTTTACAGGGTTATAACCATAGATTAAATGTGGAATGTTATGTAAAAGATTGCATGAACCTTGATTTTTTCTCCGAGTAAAGATTAATATGATCAATATTTCCATTGATCCTCAACTGAGTCACATCGAGTATGTTAATATTGAGTTTCAATTCGAAAATAGTGAGTTGAAAATAGAAAATGAAAACAATGTTGAATTATATTATTTGATTTTCTGTAAAATATCACAAATCTAGTTCAATCATTTATTCTTTGTATAGGAAAGTTTGAAAAAATAAATCTAGAATTTTATTAATTTTCATATAAAATAAAGTATTTATAAAAAAAAAGAAGAACAATAGTGCACGATTATAAACGTAATAAAAATTATTTTTCAATAAAATCTTGTAAAGAATGATGAAATTGTTTAATTCATGTTGTATGATGTTTTTTAGCAATAGTATTAGTTCTAGGTGAAATATTAAATGTTTATCTCTATTTGTAATAACATTTTCATTTGTTGATTTAATACAATCAAATAAAATTTCAATGATTTGTTCAAGATTAAAATGTGGATAACCAATTGAATTAGGTAAATTCATAATATAATCTTTTTGAAAATGAAAAGCATCAGAAATATTTTTCAGATTTTTTCTTTTATTTTCCATTGTTTAATATCCAATTGCATTTCTTGTTTAGTTAACGCGAGTAATTGAATATTTTCAAGAATAAAATCTCGTGCATACCGATATAAATTAAACGTGATTGATCTAACCAAAATATTGCTTTATATAAATTTGATAATTAAATAGACTTTGATGATTTTAAACGTAGATTATTATCTAAATATGAAAAATAATCAATATATCCAATAGAATAAATAATCGCATCAAATCTTTCTCATGACTTATCTTTAAAATAAACTGTTTTTTTATCAGTTTCAGTAGTTGATGGAGGTTCTTTGATTTTATTTAGTTATTTGAATTCTTTTCCTTTTGTTCGATACGAAATTCTAATAAATTTCGTTTCATATTCATATAATTGCAAAGCAATATCTTCACCTCAAACTCTCTCATCAATTAAAAGAACATTTTTATTTGAAAAATTTTCTGCGAAACGATAATCATGAGAATATAATAATCGACCAGAAAATGTTTCAATACCATTTAAATATGGAATAAATCGTGTTGAATAATGTTCTGTTGCTATAATAACATAATCGAATTCTTCCGAATGTATTTTATCAGTTTTTCAATCTTTTACTAAAATATAAAATTTACTTTTTTTCTTCTAAATAATCGATTCATAGAATATTTTTATTCAGTTCAACACATTGACACACATTATTTTGTTGAGCATATCCTCGAATATAATCATAAGATATATTTCGAGGTCAATATGATGGAAACTGATTGACCAAAATGTTTATCATATGTATAATCAATATATTTCGAACATTCTTTTGGTAAATATGTTCATCAATTCAAATGCATATAATTGACTTAAACCAGATGGACCAACCCCACGAATTGCAACTCGAATTTATGAACACATTTTTTTTCAATCTTAGTTTTATTTGTTTGTCGATACACAGATCAACAAATAAAAGAAAAACATATGCATTCATTTTTCTATATTAGAGAAGAAAAGAAAAAGTATATATAATGAACAACATAGATATTTTTCTATGTTAAGATTTATCGATGTACTCTACGTTTCTATTATGTTATTTAATATTCAAGTCACTTATTATTGTTTAGAAAGAAAAATTCGATTTAAAATATATATTATTAAGAAAGAATTCGAATTGGAAAAAGAATAAAAATTTCGAAACTGTATCTATCTTCTTCTTCTATATATATAAAGAAGAATGTTTGTCTGTTCTTTATGCATTTGGAGACCGTACGAGCAAATACAATGAAACTTTTCAGAAATGATGTCTACACCCACGGGAAGGTCGACATGTACTTTTTTCGGAAAAAAATGAATTCTACGGTTGCTACAGGCAATCTAAAAAACTGACCAATAGAATTGCAGCATTTCAAAAGGTTAAAAAAACATTGCTAGCGAAGGCGGCCGAAGATCGTCTGAGCGCTCAAATACAACAATGGACATGTTCCATCTATGTAGGGCAATCTGGTACTTGCTACAGGCAATCTATAGAATTGACCAATAGGAATGCAGCATTTCAAAAAGTTTAAAAAAATAGCTAGCGAATGCGGCCGTAGGCCGTCTGAGCGCACACCTTCTGTTCGCTATGCATTCGGTCCCTGTAATACATATGATCCCCAAACTTTCCATGACGCTTCCTTAGGTCCCAAGGACGGTCAACGGGGCGTTGGCATGGTCATAGGGGGGGGGGGGCACGGGCTGGGAGGGGGCGTGATTGAAACTTCACCCAGGTGGTTCTGTGATAGCTAACGTCACCAAACCATCAATCACACTTCTGTATATACAAGAAAAAATAGCGAGGGAGTCGGATACGGAAGGTGCTAGAAATATAAATACTTTGCAGCGGGAAACGTATCAGAGGGATTTTACAGCGACAACTGTATGAGAGAGAGTTTGCAGCGGGAACTGTGTAAGAGAGAATTTGCAGCGGGTACTTCCTCTAGTACGATATAGAATGAAGATTGTAGAAAAAGAAAGAATTCTATTGAATAAATCTTGAACAAAAGATAATTTATTTTTCAAATTTATTATTGAAATTTCTCAGTTGAAAATAAAATAAAACTATTCTGTTCTTATCTATTAAAACAAACGAAAATATTTCATTTTTATTTTTATTATCACAAAATCTAAGATATTACAATTATTATTAATTCATTGCTAATTTTATTTTTTTCGAATGATTAATTAGAAGTTTATCTTTAGAGAATATTTATTAATCAATAAAATTCTATAACTTTAAAAATAAGATTTGTCACATTTTTATTTTAAGATATTATGAAAAATATATTTGTTGTTTATCATTATTGAAATCTATTATTTATTATTCATAATAAACCGTCTTTTTAAACTAATTTATGTGTGTTAACACGTGTGAAAATATTTCAAAATATAGTTTATTAGGAAATTCAATCAATGGAAATTAAGATAATTAGTAAAGACAATTTCATGGTTATAGATGTAAAATTATTTATTTATTTTTAATGAAGCAATTAAACAATAATTATTGTATGTTGTTTTGAGCATTTAACATTTTATAATAAATTCCATGTTTTTCTATTAATTCTGTATGAGTACCACTTTCTACTATACGACCCATTTCAAGTACATATATTAAATCACATGAACGTATTGTTGAAAGACGATGTGCAATAATAAGTGATATTCGATTAGGATCCTCTGTTTGAGCTTGATCAAGAGTTTCTTGTACTATCTGAAAATTATTAAAAATGTTAAATTATACCTACAAAACAAAATTAATTTACTTGTTCATTATATGGATCCATGGCACTTGTAGCTTCATCTAATAATAATATTTTAGGTTGACGAATAAGAACTCGAGCAATAGCAATACGTTGTTTTTCACCACCTGATAAAAAATTACCTTTTATTCCAACTTTTGTCTCATAACCCTATGATAAAATAAGATAATATTATTAAATAATAAAAATATTAATCTCACTTGAGGTAATTGTTGAATAAATTCATGAATATTAGCTTTAGTTGCAGCAAGAACAATCTCATCCATTGGTATATTTTCTAATCCATATGATATATTTTCAGCAATTGTTAAATCAAATAAAACTGGTTCTTG